ATTTTATATAATAAAATCATTTTCGAAACTATTTTATGAGATAACTAAATCCCTAGAAACTAGGAAAATAAGTTATCTTTTTTACTAAGAGAAAATCATATTTTATTTTAAAAACTTATCTTTTATAAAATAAAATCTATTAATACCAAGTCAAAACTAACTTTCAATAAAGTAGGCAAACATAATGCAATGACTATTTAACGTGGAAAACTGACTTCTAGTGTTGTGAAAAATCGTGTTCCTTCTTTAAACGAATTCTAGACTAATTAGTAAGGAACTTACTAGTCATCAACACGAAGTTCCTTACTGGCTGAAGTCCCAATGTAGTTCCTTAGGCTTGTTCCAGACAATTTCTCTTGTCCAACATACTTACATGATTCCAAGGAAAATATACTCCTATTCGTCTTCATGTTTCTCTAATGAAGCTTCTACTCCGATGCTTCTGTTCTTGTCAAAGAACTTCTCTTCTCATGTGAAACTTCTACTCCGAAGCTTCTGCTCCCATAAAGGAACTTCTCTTTTCTTATTCCCCCTTAGAAACGACTGCTTATTCCTTGCAAAGAACATCTTCTTATTCTTCTTAGGAACTGCAAGTAAAATCTAACAATACGTTTGTATGTTTAGACTTCTTCTCTTTGTGTTCCCTTGAGGAACTCAAGCACGATTTATAAATTGTATGTAGGGAACCTTCTTCAATAATGATCTAATCTGTAATTGACCACCTTCATGCTTCCTTACGTGTTCATGCATATCTCAATACACATATTATTTAGATAATTATACTTTGTTTACAATCATCAAAACCTTTCAACATGTAACATTATGACGTACATGGACATATATTTTGAAGAGTGTCACCACATGACACCTTTCTTTTGAAAGAAACGTCTTTTATGGTGTGTTTGGATTGAATAAAATGGAGGGAAAGGAAGGGAAGGGAAGGGAAATGTAGAGATTGAGTTTCTTTCATTTGGATAACAAATAAGGAGGGAAGGAAATTGGAGGGGAGAGAAATGGAGGGATTAAATTGTAGGAAATTGATCCCTCCAACAATGGAGAGTTTTGGAAGGAAAACTCCCCATTCTTCCCTTCCCTCCACTTCTCCTCCCTCCCTTTCTTTTCTTTCCCTTTTCTATAACCAAATACACTGTTAATGTATATAGAGATAGATATATTAATTTGCTTCTGAATACACAAGATAGGATGGAAAATAGCTTAAAAGAGTCGCCACTCAAGCCATTATTTTGTTTAAGGTGTTTAGTTAATTAGTTTGGGCTTTACACGGGAATCTTTCGTCCACATTAATGCATAAACTTTACATAGACTATTACAATTATTGGTTATAAAATATGAATCTATTTTATTGTTTCAAGTTTAGATGCCCTTGACAATGTCTGGTGACTGATAGTGCATATCAAATGTGTTGTAACGGATGGAGAAAGAACAAATTAATGAATGCAAAACAAATAAATAGCACACACAGATTTACGTGGTTCACCAACAATGTGTTGGCTATGTCCACGGGCAGGCGAGAGAAAAGCTTTATTGATCTTGAGGAAATTCCAGATTACAGATTGATAATGTTAATTATCAATAATAGACTAATCTATGAATAAACCCTAACTAGGAATATATATAGCTTCCCCAAATAAGATAGATAAGTGCATAAAAACGGCTCATATCATGAAACCCTAATAAATCGTGTGGGTTCCACCGTGCACAAACGGAGAGCTCTCGCTCACCATCGAGCGAGCTATCGCTCGGACCCCAATCGATCTATCCCTCATGGTCGAGCGAGCTATCGCTCGGCCCCTATCTCACCTTCGACCTTTGCGAGCTACCACGCGAGCTACCGAGCGAGCTATCGCTCGGCCTAGTCAAACCAATATGTCTTCGTGAGCTATAGCTCACTCGCATAGGAGCTATAGATCCAATTTCGTCACAACTCCATATGCTTTCGAAACCACCGAGCTACCTCTCGAGCTATAGCTCGCTGCTCCTAAACCCAGATTCAAGGCATATTTCAACAAACTCCACCTTAAATTGAATCCTCTGACAAAACTAGATAACCAGACGCATTGATCACAATGCCCAGACTCTCCCTGCAACCAAACTTGTCCCGAAAGACAACCAGACCAGATTAGTCCCGTAGGACTCCAGATTAGCCCCGTAGAGCTCCAGATTAGCCCCTAAGGGCTACTAACAATCTCAAATATTGAGTAAGTTTAAACAGTGTTCAAACTTACTCCGCGAAACCGGCTTGGTGAACATATCAGCAGGATTATCAGCAGTACCTACCTTCTTCACCTTAATTCTTGTCTTAGTTCGTAGAAAATGATACCTGACATCAATGTGTTTAGTTCTCTCATGATGCACTTGATCCTTAGCCAAACATATTGCACTCAGACTATCACAATATACTATAGCTTGATCATGATGTAGACCCAGATCACTAACTAGTCCCTTTAACTAGATTCCCTCTTTGGATGCTTCTGTCAAGGCCATGTACTCTGCTTCAGTAGTAGACAAAGTCACTGAAGGATGTAAAGTAGCTTTCCAACTAACAACCGAACCACCAAGAGTGAACACATAACCAGTCATAGACCTTCTACCATCAACATCCCCAGCATAATCAGAATCCGAATAGCCTGTAACTAAACATGCCACATCATTACCATAAATGAGACCAACATCAGATGTACCCCTTAGGTAACGAAAAATCCTCTTGACTGCTTGCTAATGCTCCTTACCAGGGTCAATCATGAACCTACTAACAACACTGGCTGCTTGTGCAAGATCCGGCCTAGTGCAAACCATAGCATACATCAAACCCTACTGCACTAGCATAGGGAATACGAGACATGTAATCCTTCTCCTCAGTAGACTTTGGTGCAAAAACAACCGACAAGTGACAATTGGCCGCGCTTGGAGTATCTATAGGCTTCGCTATTGACATGCCAAACTTCGACAATATCTTCTCAATGTAGCCTTTCTGCGATAAGAAAAGTTTCTTTTGAGCCCTATCCCTATAAATCTCCATGCCCAATATCTTTCGAGCCGCACTCAAATCCTTCATTTCAAACTCGGCACTGAGAAGACCCTTCAATTTCTGAATATCAGACTTGTTCTTCGCTGCTATCAACATATCATCTACATATATAACTAAGTAGATGTAAGACCCATATGTTAACTTGTTATGGTATACACAACAATCATACGGATCCCTGTTGTAGCCTATCTCCATCATGTAGCTATCAAACCTCTTGTACCATTGCCTAGGAGACTGCTTTAGCCCATACAAGGGCTTCTTTAACTTGCAAACATGGTCTTCTTTTTATGGAACTTGGAAACCATCCAGTTGGGTCATGTATATATCCTCTTCCAACTCTCCATGTAGAAAAGTTGTTTTCACATCTAGTTGCTCAAGCTCCAAATCCTGATGTGCAACTATTGCTAGTAGCACCCTGATGGAAGTGTGTCAGACCACAGGTGAGAAGATCTCATTGTAGTCTATCCCCTCTCTTTGTGTGAACCCTCTTGCAACTACTCGAGCCTTATACTTGATCCCTTTCGCAGGTGTCATCCCCTCCTTTTTCTTGAAAATCCATTTGCAAGTAACAATTTTTCTCCCTGAAGGCCTAGGAACAAGATCCCAAGTCTTATTCTTATGAAGTGACTCCATCTCATCTCCCATTGCAGCAAGCCAATGGGTAGATTCTGTTCATGTAACTGCTTCCTTGTAGGTTGATGGCTCATATACATCCACCTATTCGGAAACCTGTAGTGCATAAACCACCATATCTTCAAAACCAAATCTGTCAGGAGGTTTTCCAAAATTCGCCCTTTTAGAACATTCCAACGCTAGACTAGGCTTGTTCAATTTTGGCGTTAATGATTCTAGTGCTTCAGTATTTTCGTGTTGAACATCTTTTTCTTGTACCTGGTCAATCTCATCATGAGTGACTTGCTGCTCCACCTGTTTGTCAACACTACCACTATCTGATACAACTATGGACTGAACATTAGAGTTAAACATAGAATTTTCATCAAAGACTACATTTCTACTAAGTATAACTCTACTTTCCGATGGAGACCAAATCCTATAACCTTTAACCCCATCGCCATACCTTACAAATACTCCCTTTTTGGCCCTTGGCTCTAATTTACCCTCATTAACATGATAATAAACATTGCAACCAAAAGCTTTCATTTTTGAGTAATCTACAGGCTTGCCAGACCACACCTCATATGGTGTTTTTGAGGTTAATTCTAGAGTGCGGTCCACGGTTGATCAGATAACATGTCGTACTCACGGCTTCTGCCCAAAACTTTATGGTCAATCCAGCATTAGAGAGCATGCACTGAACTCTCTCCAAAAGTGTCTGATTCATTCGTTCTGCTACACCATTTTGCTGTGGTGTATCTCTGATGGTACGATGCCTAGCGATCCCCTCATTCTTGCAGAACTCATCGAACTCAGACCAACAAAATTCTAAACCATTACCAGTTCGAAGCTTCTTGATCTTCTTCCCAGTTTGATTCTCCACTAACGCCTTCCACTACTTGAAATTCTTGAAAGCTTCACTTTTAAACCTCATTATGATCACCCAAGTCATCCTTGAAAAATCATCAATGAATGATACAAAATACCTGTGACCTCCCAATGACTCAACACGTGAAGGGCCCTAACAATCGGAGTGGATATAATCAAGAATACCTTTAGTTCTATGAATGCCTTTGGGGAACTTACTGCGATGTAGTTTCCCAAAGACACAATGCTCACAGAAATCAAGGTTTGTGACCTTATGGCACTACTACAAAAGTGACATTAGGTAACACCAAAGGGTAACACCAAAGGGTAACACTTTCAAAGTTAAAAAGTTATTTAATGTATAAGTAACATCTATGTAACACTTTGGTTTTGTGTATCACTTAATGTAACACTTTTATCTTAGGTATTACTTAGTTGTAACACTTGGTTGTAATTTATAACACTTAGATTTTATTGGCCGATGTTTTAAAAAATATAACTCAGCCTCGCCCTTTATCTTCCTGTTCTTTCCTCTTCTGCATTTTTTTAGACGCCTCCTTATCTCTCTCATGAGAGTCATCTCTTTATCTCATATCCGTCTTCCATGGAAATTAATTAAGCCTAAAAAAAGTTCTTCTCTAAGATCTAAAATATGTTTGATTCTCTTATCTCTTTTTTTTTCTTCGTTTTTGTTTTCTCGCGTCGTTCTCCAATGGAAGACGGAGATATCCGGCTTCAAATCAAGGGCTTCTCGCCAACGCTCTGGGATACTGGCCACCACTCCAAGATTTTTCGGTTCGTAATTCCAGCTACTATCATTGTCACCGACAATTTAATTGTGGTACATGTTTCTCTCTAACTTTTGACAATTTTCTATTTTAGGTTTCATTTGCTTTAGATTTTTGTTTTAGTTCTAAAGATTTTTTTCTAATAAATGTTTTTTGTTATTTTAGCTGAAATTCGTTAGTTAGGTTTTTTCTTCGAAGAATTTTGATTTCAAATGTTATCAATTTTTCACTTATGATTGTAAAATTTTGTGCTTTATTCTTCAATTTTTTCCCGCGACATAATTTTTCGGTGCATCTGTTAAAGTTTGCTAATTTTTTTGTGTATTCCTTTGTATTAGACGAATTTAGATTTATTGAATATATGTATTTATGTGAAAAATCATCAATTTGGGTAACTAAGCGAACCTGATCATTCCTTTAGCTGGTACTAATTAGTCAAACACAAATGCATTGTGTTCCTATACATAAATTTGTTGATAATCATGTTGCAACTTTTAATTTTTTTATGCATCTTTTATTTTCTCATTTTGTGAAATGGGTTTGTGTGAAAATAATTGATAAGGTTTAATTTCTCAGTAATTGTTCCTTCTCTCTAGCTTTGTGACTATTATATATATATATATTTATGAGGTGCAATATTTTCATTGACCTTTTCGCAGTTGTTCTTGAAGTATGCTGATATTGGACGTTAAATAGCCACAATTGGAGCAATTTGGATCATTTATATTCCAAAACATTTGAACAAAGATATAACAAATCTTTATGGCCTCAACACTTTCAAATTACATAGGTTAGTTGATTTGTATTTTGTTAATATGAATTCTTACTTTTATTCTTTCAAATTTTAATCATAGATTTTCTTGATTACTAAATACTTGTTCTGAGACCAAAGGACAAGTATTTGGCTTATTTGGAACAAATGGGGTTGGGAAGACTGTTACACTAATGTTTTGGATCGAACATTGAAGCTTAACTTAGGGAGGTTTAATGTAATCTGCTTCATTTTGATGACTTTTTGTTATTGCTTCTTGATATCTTTTGCCTATATACTATTGTATGTTTTTCTTTAAAATAAATGGCAGGAAGTCTTAGCTTATTTCCGTGTATCATAACTGCAAAAGTATGATATGTGCATATTGGAAGATAACCTGAAGGTTTCCTATTGCGGAGTGGTGTCATATATATGTTTTCTGAACCTTCAAGTTATTTGGATGTGAAACAACGGCTAAATGCTGCCAAAGTTATATGATCATTGCTAAACCGGAAGAGGTATATTTTCAATTTTTCATACTTGATTTTTTGTCTTCTATTTATGAAAGTATCAATTTATGATCTGATAAATTAATGAAAGTTTTAGTAAGGGAAGAATATATGCTATGATTAATCAATTTGTGCTATTGCATTAGTTTCTAATAATGTTGTTAATTAACACAAGTACATCAGTAGGTAAGGAGGTTACGTGGCCTGTTAAATTGTAAATTTACCATCTCTGAATGAACTTCAGAGTAGGACTTGGCTCTCATACTCTACCCTTATTTCTGGTGTTCATTTATAAATGAAGTTATGCTTGACCATGACAATGACCTGCTAGTTGTATAAGTCTAAGCATGCTATTCAACATTCAATTTGATGTCAGTTATTGGCAAAACACACATGTCAGTTATCATTGGCAAATGCAATGCTCTGTATTCTCTTTTTACTTGGTTTATAAATCATAAGTAGCTTGCATATAAAAACATATACCTCAAGAATCACCATGAAGTCTACACCTATAGTGAACATGTGTAGCAAGAATCATATCAGTGTGATACTATTGAAGGCACAATAACTTTCACAAGTATATTCGTAAGAATAGTTTTTTTTTTTTTTTTTTTAAATTCAGATTAAATTTTAGAATGACCAGAGGAAATAGTTGTCTTAAGCTGTAATATTGTCTATTCTTATAAGTTATAAGCTATAATATTAAGTAGATTATCTTATAGCTGGATTAATGTATACATAAAAAAAAAAATATCGCCCACTTCTTCATAGCAAGTATATTTCCTTCGGTTTTGTAGCTTGCTTGATGCTACTAATGCTGCTGTCTGTTGCTGTTGATCTGCTTTCGAGCTTCTGCTGCCTGTTTCACCTGTTCGGCTTTCGAGTTGCTGTACTACTATTCAGTTTGCCAGCTATTGTTCTTCTACTTCTGAGTTGCTGTTGTTTTGCTTCTAAGTTGCTACTATTGTTCTGCTTTCGAGCTGCTGCTGCTGTTGCTATTTTTCTTCCGAGTTGCTGATGTTCAGTTTCCAAGCTGTTACTGATTTTCACATTGTAATTTTTTTTTTGTGATGAAATTGTAATATTACAAGAATTTATTAATAAATTTATCCTAGTTTTATATATATATAATTGTATGTTCATTAATTTTACTTTTTTTGGAATAAAACCGGTGCCCTTTATTGACGTTAATTAAGGGCACAGGTTAGCCCTTGAATTGGTGCCTAAAACCTCTGTCATGGGCAACCCCCAAAAAGGCACTCGTTTAAAATTGTAGCCCTAAGCCGGTTTTGAACTGTTGCCCATTACATTCTCCACAAGTAAATATAATACTAATAATTGTGTTAAAAAGAATATTAATTAATTAATTAATTAACTAATAAAATGTTACATTAGCTTGTTAAAATTGGTACATAATGTCGAATATAGTGATACTATATGTCAAAAGATGATTGAAAAATGTAACCTATAATTTGTAAAAGTGACACAATTTTAGAGAAAGTGTTACTATATGTTCGAAAAGTGTTATTAAAAATAAGTAAGTGTTACCTAATAAATAAAAAGTAACACTTAAAAAATGATACCTATAATATAAAAATGTGTTACATAAGAGGGTTTATATTAACACTTTCAAAAGTGTTACCATACGTTACCCAAAGTGTTACATAAAACCTTAGGTAACATGGGCAGATGTATCACCCACTAAAGTATTACTTATTGACTATGATAACACTTTTACCATTTTATGTAACACTTTTTGGATGTTACTTAAGGTTAATTATGTACTAGTGTGGCCACCTAGAAGATCAGCCTTGGAGAGGATTTGCATTCCTCTCTCACTCATATACCCAAGCCTTATGTGCCATAACTTTGTCATATCATCCTTCTGAACCTCAAATGAAGCAACAACAACTAAACCTGATAAAGTGGAGCCCTGTAGGAAATACAAAGTAACACGCTTGACACCCTTTAGAATCACATCCGAACCCTTGCAGACATTCAGAACTCCACCTTTAACCCTGAAACTGAAACCCTTATTGTCTAGTGCACTAAGTGAAATAATATTCTTAGTCATTTGTGGAACATGTCTGACATCGTTCAATATGTGAAACGTACCATCATATGTCCGGATCTTGATAGAGCCAATCCCAATTGCCTTGCACACTGCACTATTAGCCATTGAAATATTTCCTCCATCTACCTGCTCATAGGTAGTAAACCACTCCCTACGTGGACATATATGATACGATGCCCCAGAATCAAGAACCCACATGCACATCATTGTGATATGTATGTTCACCCGCAACTAAAGCAATGTCATACTCAAAATTCGAATCCTCTTCTGCTAAAGCAGCAGATACAGATTTATCCTGCTGTTTCTTCTTGGGACATTCTCTCTTCCACTGCCCCTTCTCTTTACAGTAATTACAGACATCAGTTTGCTTAGGACCCCCTTTGGAATTTCCGGGTTTCTTAGCCTTCTTCTTCCCGGAATTTCCATGTCCTTTTCCACCACTGCCCATTAATCTAGAGGCTTGATTGTCTGTACCTGTACTACCAAATGCCTTATGGCGTAATTCCCTAGTATGAAGAGATGATCTAACCTCTTCTAGGGACACAGTATCTTTACCAACAATAAAAGATTGCACAAAATTCTCATATGACAAAGGTAAAGAAACTAACAGAATTAAAGCAGCATCCTCATCATCAACCTTAACATCAATATTACACAAATCTAGCAAAATCGTATTTAATTGATCTAGGTGATCTCTAAGAGGTGTACCTTCATTCATTCGCAGACTGAACAGACGTTGCTTCAATAGCAACTTGTTTGTTAGAGACTTTGTCATGTACAAACTCTCCAATTTCAACCACAGACCTGATGCAGTTTCCTCCTCCGCAACCTCGGTAATGATATCGTCTGCAAGACACAACATGATCATTGAATGTGCCTTCTCCTCCAGAATGGCCATCTCAGCGATATCCGGACCCGGTGACTTCTTTGTCGATGGTGTCTCAGCGCCATCCGATGACTTCTTTGCCAATGGTGCCCATAACCCTTGTTGTTTCAACAACGCCCACATCTTGATCTGCCATAAACTAAAACTATTCCTCCCCGTGAATTTATCAATTTTCACATTCATACCATACATCTCTCCCACTCAAATCGAACCTAAACTCTTGATACCAATTGTTTTAACGGATGGAGAAAGAACAAATTAATGAATGCAAAACAAATAAATAGCACACACAGATTTACGTGGTTCACCAACAATGTGTTGGCTACGTCCACGGGCAGGCGAGAGAAAAGCTTTATTGATCCTGAGGAAATTACAGATTACAGATTGATAATGTCAATTATCAATAATAGACTAAGCTATGAATAAACCCTAACTAGGAATATATATAGCTTCCCCAAATAAGATAGATAAGTGCATAAAAACGGCCCATAAAACCCTAATAAATCGTGTGGGTTCCACCGTGCACAAACGGAGAGCTCTCGCTCACCATCGAGCGAGCTATCGCTCGGACCCCAGTCGAGCTATCGCTCATGGTCGAGCGAGCTATCGCTCGGCCTATCTCACCTTCGACCTTCGCGAGCTACCACGCGAGCTATCGCTCGGCCTAGTCGAACCAATATGTCTTCGTGAGCTATAGCTCACTCGCATAGGAGCTATAGCTCCAATTTCGTCGCAACTCCATATGCTTTCGAAACTACCGAGCTACCTCTCGAGCTATAGCTCGCTGCTCCTAAACCCAGATTCAAGGCATATTTCAACAAAATGCATGTCCTCCCGTTGATAAATCATGAAAGACGTACTATTTCATGCACCATATCTTTGTCATTTACATGTTTATCATTATTATTATTATTATTATTATTATTATTATTATTATTATTATTATTTTGAGAGAACATTATTGCATAAACATTTTTAAAGTTAAAACATAACATGAAGTACAAATATTGTGGACCGAAAAAGAAAGTACATATAATGTGAATTATACTTAAATTTCTGTTAGTCACATCAAATGAAACTGATAGCCAAGTTATAATTAATAAGCTTGTAGCCCTTCAAGATTTTTGTTTCATTGTTTGTCATCACCCAATTAGGTTAAGGCCACATTAGCTAGCTGGATGTGTTGGCTTACTCAATATTATGTTTTGTTTAGTATCTCATCTTTTAACTATAGTCTATAATAATAATGATGATGATAAGAAATAAATTAGTCATTTCAATTGGATAGCAAATTAAGACATGGTAATCCTTCAACCACGTGAATATGGGACCTCTAACAAGATTTTTGTAGGTGGATAAGGGCCTGGTATATTACTCTATATAGTAAAATGTGTGCTGGGATTATGCACAATTAATGATAATGCACTATTAATATTAGTACGGAATTTGAAATTTTTTGTAATGAACTACCTTTTGTATATTCGAAAATTCACTTTAATAATCTCAATTTTCAACTAAATATTTTGAATAATCTCAACTTTCAATTATTATTTAATAATCCAGATTTGAATGTGTTTTTTTTCTCCACCAGGTCCAATTGATTAACAACATGTTATAATAAGTAATCTTGACACGATTAACACGTGATTGCTCTAAAATGAAAAAAATTACATAAAAACCAAACTTTCCTAGTCACCTTCCCCTCTCCTCACCGTTAAACCATAGCCTAATAGGTACCAGCCAATTGCCCCCCTTAACCCTAGAAAATGGTTGGCCAGTCGCTCCCAAGCCATGAAACCACCTATCCAACCTACCCTCACCCCGTAAACCACCACCTCCCTTCGCCTACCCTTGAAAACAAACATACATACCCCCTCCCTTCCCTCACTGTCGAAATTGTCCCTCCTCCCTTCCTCCGATCCATTGCCAAAATGGACGGTTTCAAGGGTTAATGAAGGGAGGAGGGGTGGTTTCAATTCGGTGGTGGGGAAGGGAGGGTGGTTTAGGGGGAAGGGTGGGTTGATTGGGTGATTTTGGGGATATGAGGGGCCGTCGGACGATCATTTTCAAGGATCAAGGTGAGGATATGGTGATGTATGTGGTGGTGGTGAGGGGGAGGATATGGTAGTGAGGGTGTTAATAATTAGTTAACCATGATTAAATCATTAATGATTTTGTAAAAAAAAGAAGATAAATCGTCAAAGGTTAATTATGTTAGAATTATTAAAAAGGCAAAAGCTAATAAATATCCCGGGGGCGTTGGATAAGATAGCTAAAGATAGAAATATTAACTTGAAATAAAAATTAATTACACTGATCGAAGCGTGATTTTGACATACGTTCTCAAATTAATACCATTTTAGGAACTATTTAAAGGATTATGTAACGCCCCAGAGGCTTCCGTTAGCAAGATCTTTATTAAAATAAAGCTAGACTAGAGAAAGATTATAAATTAAATTAAATAAAAAAAAAATTATAACTTCAATGATATTTTTCTTCCAAAAAAAAAAAAAAAAAAAAAAAAAAAAACTTCAATGAGAATTTGAAATAAATAAATAAATAAAATTGTTACAATTTAGAATGAGCAATTTTTTTTTTTTTTTTTTTTTTGTTGAGAAAAGTTTTTTTTTTTTTGTTGAGAAAAGAATATGCAATTTTATATGGCTATCATTAAGAATTTTCTTATAGTTTTTTATTAAAAAATGTAGGATGCATTTATCCCCGTATTTTTATTTTTCAGTGTTGGTAATGATTCATTTAGTTTTCTGGCAGTTGTCCTCGTCCATTCCTTTTTGTCTTCGTCACCTTCCCGCTTATTCATCAAACAATAGACGCATATTAACGAACAATGAAGTACTTCGTAATTTTAAAAAATAAACTAATCATGTCTACCAATATACAGTAGATAAAACAAACTCATGGCCACCTTTGTCCCTCATATATAAAGCTCAAGAACCCACATTGCTACATACTACACCTTTGTGCATGTTTATAACACACACACACAAAAATAAAAAAATAAAAAATAAAAAAAAATAAAAAAAATCATTACATCATATGTAGGTGACGTGCTAGCTTGTAACTAATTTTTTTCACTATGTTTTATTAGAAGTGTGTAACATTTTAACTTTAGTAATATTCACATACTTTACCTTTTTTGAATCTATGTACGAGTATTTATGTACTACGTAATTTGCAAGTTGATG